GGTCCCTCAGCGCCCGGAGCTGGTCCACCCCAATACTCGTGATTAGGTAGTCACTGCCATCATCAAGAAGTAATATAGCAAGGGCACCAGTTAAGGTGTTTAACGGAGGACTCGTGACCAGCTGCTTCCACTCTTTCCTGGAGAATATAATGATTGGAAGCAGGACGACCTGAATTATTCCACCATCATCAACAAGTATAACAACAAGGGAGGTAGATCAGACAGCTGCTGTCCATAGCGGGCAAGAGTCTCATGTTTCCTCCTTAACAGACTCCTCCCAATGTCAGAAATTTCCTCCTGGAGTCAGAGTGCGTGAAGCTGATACTGAAACAGAGTACATCAACATTTTGACTTGTACAGTACATGATGCTCTTCGCCTTTTGATTCTGTCAACGCAGGAGCTTTATGGAGGACTGTCACTGTCTGTTAGTCACATTAGTTGCCCACCAAATTCATCAACATTGTGACCAACCACACGATCACTATAAAACACCAAACTATCGAGCGGATAACCTCGACAATTGTAAATTTTGGTCAAAGTTTCGATTCCGTTTAAAATATAAATATTGATAATATAAGTAATGAAGCAGCCTCACCAAACTGTGGAACGCTCTGCCTTCTTCATACTTATACAATGTCTCACTTTAAAAAGCTGGTTTTCCGACATCTTCGTGGTGTAGATTAACACAGCATAACCTTCTTCTTCTCTATTTTTAATTAATTGTTGTTTTTTTTCGTTCCTTAGACCCCGTTGTGGGTCGTTCGACCTGTGTCCGGGTGGGCTAATTCCCGTAAAAAAAATATTCTGGGATTGTTAAATGTTTATCAACGTTTATATTAATTTCACTGTTAACTTTAAGGTCAACGGGAGGTTTATTTATCCGGAATTCAACGTCTTGCATCGGATCCTTCTTTGGCATATTAAAGAATTATTATAGAGATTTAACAGTAAGCTAATTGTTATATGGCAAGCCTTGATGCTGTCCTAACAATCAATTTCCATATAACTCTCATTAAAAGTTCAGGTTAATTTGCTAATTCAGGATCTGGCCTCAAAAAATAAATGTCAGACAATCAGAAGTACGAATGACCCAACACTAAAGGAGGATTACTAATTCTAAACAGCCTATGGAATTTTGTAGGTCAGATTCTTAATTAAAATTATTACACATTTACCTTTAATGAGAAGTTGAAGGTTATAAATCTTTAACCCCAATAATAATAATAAGAGCCATAATAATTTATAACTTTGTAAAAAACATCTTTTTTCCTTCAAACTCTAAATATACTTCCTCTGGAACAAGATAATTGGCCTCCAAAACATGAATTTCCGGTAATTGGACATGTTAATGACTCAAATTTATTCACCCTTCACTGAAGAGTCATTACGAGGTTTAATTATCCGAAATCAATTTTTTAGTCAGTTCCTTAATTAGCATGTTAAAGAGTAGCTATACTGAGAATTTCAAATGAAACCGAATTAGATAAAACGACAAAGTATTCAAGGGGTAACCTTAGAATAGTAAGCAGCAACAATAGTAGTAGTAGTAGTAGTAGCGGCTCAACTAACTCAACACAGCTAGGATAGCTACTTATGTATTAGGATATTTAATATTAAGGTAATAAAATGGCGGCGAAGGTGTGGCTATTGGGGGAGGCTGGAGGCCACGTAGTAGTAGTAGTAGTAGTAGTAGTAGTAGTTTTTTTTTAGTAGTAGTAGTAGTAGTAGTAGTAGTAGTAGTAGTAGTTGTTGTTGTGGGTAAAATATACTAATATCAATATTAACCACAGCCTCCCACTTCAAAAGGGTCGCTTTTGAAGTCGGCAGAGGTGGAAAGATTAGACGCTCCCATAATATTTCGCTCACCTTAATATCCTTCGCTCGAGTTCTCTATTATTAAGTTCCCATGACAACGAAATACAAAAATCCAGAAGAAACATAAAGAAAACCAAACTCTTTTAACTACAAAATTTTATATAATATTCTTCGTTAAGTATTTTGGAATAGAGTTGAATTTAATGGATTTTTTAACGATGTCTAACGATACATGGAGACTTTCTGGTCACGCCACCCCAGCTACCGCTCATTGTCGGAAAATTTGATTCGCTGATTATAACGGCCGTGGCGCGCCATGTGTAGCATTGTGGCATCCCAGAGCTGACGGATTACCTTTGTGACGCGATAGTTAGCTTTGTGGTGTACTGGTGCTGAGAGGTTAGGTAGGTTTGTGATGTACTGGTGCTGAGAGGTTAGTTAGCTTTGTGGTGTTCTGGTTGAGGTTAGTTAGCTTTGTGATGTACTGGTGCTGAGAAGTTAGTCAGCTTTGTGATGTACTGGTCCCGAGAGGTTAGTTAGCTTTGTGGTGTACTGGTGCTGAGAGGTTAGTTAGCTTTGTGGTGTACTGGTGCTGAGAAATTAGTTTTGTGATGTACTGGTGCTGAGAAGTTAGTCAGCTTTGTGATGTACTGGTGCTGAGAGGTTAGTTAGCTTTGTGATGTACTGGTGCTGAGAGATTAGTTAGCTTTGTGATGTACTGGTGCTGAGAGGTTAGTCAGCTTTGTGATGTACTGGTGCTGAGAGTTAGTAGCTTTGTGATGTACTGGTGCTGAGAGTTTAAGCTTTGTGGTGTACTGCTGCTGAGAGGTTAGTTAGCTTTGTGATGTACTGGTACAGGAGGTTAGTTGGTGATGTACTGGTGCTGAGAGATTAGTTAGCTTTGTGATGTACTGGTGCTGAGAGGTTAGTCATTTGTGATGTACTGGCGCTGGAGAGGTAGAAGCTTTGTGGTGTACTGGTGCTGAGAGGTTAGTTAGCTTTGTGGTGTACTGGTGCTGAGAGGTTAGGTTAGCTTTGTGGTGTCCTGGTGTTGAGAGGTTAGTTAGCTTTGTGGTGTCTGGTGCTGAGAGGTTAGATTTTTGTGGTGTACTGGTGCTGAGAGGTTAGTTAGCTTTGTGGTGTACTGGTGCTGAGAGGTTAGTTAGCTTGTGGTGTCCTGGTGTAGAGGTTAGTTAGCTTTGTGGTGTACTGGTGCTGAGAGGTTAGTTAGCTTTGTGGTGTACTGGTGCTGAGATAGTTAGCTTTAGGTGTACTGAAAATATAGGTTAGTTAGCTGTGGTGTCCTGGTGTTGAGAGGTTAGTTAGCTTTGTGGTGTACTGTGCTGAGAGGTTAGTTAGCTTTGTGGTGTCCTGGTGTTGAGAGTGTTAGTTAGCTTTGTGGTGTACTGGTGCTGAGAGGTTAGTTAGCTTTGTGGTGTCCTGGTGTTGAGAGGTTAGTTAGCTTTGTGGTGTACTGGTGCTGAGAGGTTAGTTAGCTTTGTGGTGTACTGGTGCTGAGAGGTTAGTTAGCTTTGTGGTGTCCTGGTGTTGAGAGGTTAGTTAGCTTTGTGGTGTACTGGTGCTGAGAGGTTAGTTAGCTTTGTGGTGTACTGGTGCTGAGAGGTTAGTTAGCTTTGTGGTGTCCTGGTGTTGAGAGGTTAGTTAGCTTTGTGGTTCTATAGTATCTCTTTTTTTCTCTTCTTTTGCTTTCCTCCTCTCTCGCTTCTCTTCCTTCTTCCTCTCTTCTTTCCTGATCATCTCCCGCTTTTTTCTCCTTCCCTTTACACTCCCTCCAACTTTCTTTCTCCTCCTCCCATTTCCATTCCCTCTTTCCCTTTACATCCTCTACACCCTTTACCACCCCTCATTACATCCCTGCCATCTCCTCCTCCTCCCTTCGCTCCCTCCTCGCCATCTCTCTCCCTTTTCACTCATTATTTTCCTCCATGCCCACCCTCTCCTCCATTCTTTCATTTCCTACCACCTTTCCACTTCCTCATTTTCACCCACCCTCTTATAATCTCCCTCTCTACCCTTCCCATCCCTCTCCAGCCCCTCATTTCATCCCTCTCCGTCATCTCTCCCTCTCACTAATCCCCCTACCAATCACCCCCCCACCTTTATTCATATGCCTCAACCCCCCTGTATTCACGGAACCCACCAAAGGGAGATTAGAAGCGTATTTAATTAGTTATCAAGGTAAAAGAGACGAGAGAGGGGGATAGCTGTAGTATGGCCTCCCCCTCATAAAATAATAGTTAACAGTATAATATGGCGTTAACATGATACAATACCTGTTAACGTGATAGAAGGAATATTACCACACAACACCTATTAACATGATAGAAGGATTACCTCCCAACACCTGTTAACAGGATACAGGGGACACAACACCTGCTGACAAGATAGAAGGATTACCTCCCAACACCTGTTAACAGGATACAGGGGACACAACACCTGTTAACATGATAGAAGGAACATTACCTCCCAACACCTGTCAACATGATACAGCAACACTCCACACAACAGCATCATCAGGTCAGTGAGTTTACTTGCTCCAGACACGCCCACACACAATAGCTTCTCACTGTGTATTGTGGGCGTAGGGAACACCTGTCCCCAGCAGGTGGTAAGACTTCACACGTGTTGATCGCCGAGGTGCACTTGGACAAGCACTGGGCAGATTAAGATGCCAAGTACAATTATACGAGTATGAATATATACAGTAATATGAGTGTATGACGGTCTTTCTCTTACACACTGTTGTTGTTATCATCACCATCATTATGATTATTATATTATTATTATTATTATTATTATTATTATTATTATTATTACCGATAATATTATCATAACTTCATAAGCATTAATATTTGCTGTTATGGTTGAATCTGAGCCTTCCATCACCTGTACAGAAGGCTTACAATACCATTAACTTGGTACATATAAATCACCCTATAATGCCAGGCGACTTTGACCCTCATCTTAACTACCTCTAGAGCACATAATACAAACACACCTGTACAGCAAAAGCTCTCGTTCTTAGCCAACAATTTTGAACCTTCCAGCCATTGTACATTAAGTTAATATTAGATTTGTTTTCGTATTGCCAGCTTGAGCGTATTGCCAGCTTGAGCAGATTGGCCACCATTGACGGCTAAAAATTGGTGCTAAATACGACGCCTTAATTGGACTTCCGGCAACCACTGGGCCATGGCCGGGGAACCACTAGGCCATGGCCGGGTAACCACTGGGCCATGGCCGGGTAACCACTGGGCCATGGCCGGGTAACCACTGGGCCATGGCCGGGTAACCACTGGGCCATGGCCGGGTAACCACTGGGCCATGGCCGGGTAACCACTGGGCCATGGCCGGGTAACCACTGGGCCATGGCCGGGTAACCACTGGGCCATGGCCGGGTAACCACTGGGCCATGGCCGGGTAACCACTGGGCCATGGCCGGGTAACCACTGGGCCATGGCCGGGTAACCACTGGGCCATGGCCGGGTAACCACTGGGCCATGGCCGGGTAACCACTGGGCCATGGCCGGGTAACCACTGGGCCATGGCCGGGTAACCACTGGGCCATGGCCGGGTAACCACTGGGCCATGGCCGGGTAACCACTGGGCCATGGCCGGGTAACCACTGGGCCATGGAGTGGTATTGGGAGGTTTCTTCTTGATGCCTGGCAGGTGTGGTGAGTTAATAGGTCACTTTACAGGCTTCTATATAACTACAAAGCTCATTGATCATACTTAAGCTCTCACTTTATGGTAACTGTATTAGGATAGTTAAGTTTAAGGTAATAAAATGGCGGCGAAGGTGTGGCTATTGGGGGAGGCTGGAGGCCATTAAAAAAAGTAGCAGCAGTAGTAGTAATAACAATCACTACTTCTACTACTTCTATTATTATTACTACAATAATCATCATCATCATGACTCTCATTCACTGGTCGACAGAATCACAGCACAGAACAGGTTACCACAGACAAACACATATGAACCCCCTCAACATATCTGGTGACTGACAGGTGTGTGTATAATAATAATAATAATAATAATAATTAACGGTTTATTGAAAGAGCTTGGCAGCCAGAAGGCTGAAAATATACAGTTACATATTTGGGGAATGGGTTACGAATTACAAATAATATACAAGTAACATAAGTGACACAAATAAGACATATAATAACTAGATGGGGAAAAGCTCAAACTACAGTTCATTTCAACATAGTGACAGTGCAAGAAGCAGTATTTACTGGGAGTGAATACACTAGTTTATTACAAGTTATTGATAATTTTTACAATGGTTGGGACTGGGCTGTGTGTGTGTGTGTATATATATATATATATATATATATATATATATATATATATATATATATATATATTTCATGTAGATCCACAATGAAAACGTGGATAAGATAAATCTTGATAAAATCACACGGGAAAAGGGAAACAACGGAGCACCTTAGCTTTCGTCTTTATTCAAGACATCTTCTGAGGCGAAAGCGAAAGACGAAAGCTAAGGTGCTGTTGTTTCCCTTTTCCCGTGTGATTTTATCAAGATATATATATATGCCTGTATATATATATATTAAATTGATATATTAATGGATAGAGAGACAGGCCAAGTAACAAAAAAATACCACATGGACTCTTTAGCTAAATCACAACCACAACAAACACAAAATCCCGGGAAGAAATAAGTAAACACACACACAACAATACCCACTAATTGACCGAGACTAAAATTCGCCACTTATCGTACACGGCCACCCTCACTCAGCTGATAATGTTTACACTTTGTCGTACATTGTCACCAAGTTGACGAATTTTCCCACTGGCCCTACTTGACGCTCCCCTCCCCTTCCTCACTCTCTCTCAGACGTACTTGACACCTGCTCTCTCTCTCTCTCTCTCTCTCTCTCTCGACCCCCAATCACCTCCTGTCGGTCTGTGTTTGTTGACAAATTTGACGAGCTTCCGGTCAAATATCCCAGGACTAAATTCTGGTAAACACAGGCGGGCCGACCTTTCTTCTACGACCTGTGTGTGTGTATGTGTGTGTGTGAGTGTGAGAGAGAGAGAGATAAACAGAAGGTGAGAGAGAAGCGGGCAAAGAACAGAAGAAATGGAAAGAGAGAGAAAGAAACAACAAGAGAAATAGAAAGAAAAAATAACGAAAGAAAGAATTAATATTTACATTGACCCTCATGACCCTAACACGTCACACTGACAACATACATACATACATCACACGGGAACCTACACACACACACACACACACACACACACACACACACGTGCACGAACTGATCGCTATAAGAACAGCCCAGTCCCAACCATTGTAAAAATTATCAATAACTTGTAATAAACCAGTGTATTCACTCCCAGTAAATACTACTCCTTGCACTGTCACTATGTTGAAATGCACTGTAGTTTGAGCTTTTCCCCATCTAGTTATTATATATCTTATTTGAATCACTTATGTTACTTGTATATTATTTGTAATTCGTAACCCAATCCCCAAATATGTAACTGTATATTTTCAGCCTTCTGGCTGCCAAGCTCTTTCAATAAACCGTTAATTATTATTATTATTACACACACACACACACACACACATTTACAAGCTACTGGTTAAACTACCTAACAACCTGTGACGTCGCTAACGAGTCTCGTAACAACCCGGTGCAAATGGGTGTGTCAGTCTTAACAACTTGGGGTGAGAGAGAGAGAGAGAGAATAAGAATTAGGAAAATAAATGAGGATATACGTGAATAAGCAAAAATGGAAAAGATTTGTAGAAAAAATATAAAAATCAGGAAAAAAGGAAGATCAGGAGAAAAATCTGGAAAATAAAGGGAGAAATACGGCATGTTATAGACCTGGGGAGTAAGACGTGACTGTAAATCTAATATCAGTTCCTTCTCCACCTCGTTACCCACTCAGCCTCCGGGCGCCCCTGTCCAAAGTGAAGGAAAGGGGAGGAGGAGGAGGGTGAGAGGGGGAAGTAGTGGAAGAAGAGGAGGAAGAAGAGGTGGTGAGGAGGAGAAGTAGGGTGGTGGAAGAAGGGTGAGAGGAGGAATGGGGGGAAGAGAGGATGGGAGAAGAGGAGGAGAAAGAGGTGGTGTGGGGGAGGAAAGGGTGGGAGAGAGGAGAAGAAGAAGAGGGAGGAGGAGGAGGAGGAGGAGGAGGAGGAGGAGGAGGAGGAGGAGGAGGGAGGAGAAGGAGGAGGAGGAAAGAAGGTAGAGAGACAGAGAATCACAACGAACAAATAGGAAGAAGGTAAAACATCACAAAAATACATAAAACACAATTGAATCAGAGAAGAAACTCAAACAAGAAAACAAGTGGAGAAAAGAAGAAATAATAAACAAGGCAGAGGAGAGAGCAAGATAAACGCAGGGTGAATAAGGAGGAATGGATAAAAGAAAGATAAAATAGCAAGGGGTGATAAAACTTGTGAGTGTTATGGCGGCCGCAGATACAAACGGAAATTTATAAACACACAGCCAAGAAAGACACACAGACACACACACACAAGCAGACACACACAAGCAGACACACACAAGCAATATGACACAGATAGAGACACTCAGCAGAGAGATAATAATATACGACAGACATACAGACACGTAGACACAGCCTAGATCTCCTTACAGTCAGAGATCAACAATTCATCTCCGTCTTAACAGCGAACACTGGCTCCCTGGGTAGTTAAAGCAGAGGGGATCCTGTACACCAAGACATCCTTCACCCTCACAAGCAAGGTCTTCACCCCCCCCCCTTCACCCCCTCCTTCATGCTCAACTTCGAACCATCGTCCCCAGAGAATATATTTGAGAGCAGCTCCCAACACCCTCACGCTCTATCAACACAGTCTCTGGTATCGAACCCATGTCCTCATCAAAGATCTAAGAAGTACATCCTCGTAGTCGCCACACCATCACGTCCCCAGGCTGTTAAATATATCAAGGGGAAATTTCTCCTGTAGCCTCTTTTTTTTCCTTTCCTCATATCGAACCATTGTCCTCGAAGTACATCAGGGGTGCTTGACCTACTGCACCACCGCGTCCCTTGTTAAATAAATCAGAGCGTCTATCTTCTCATTCATATCTCTTCCTGGCGTCAATCCCTGGTGCTGAGACAAACACAGACAAGACGGTCGCCACTGCACCAACATCTCCACAATTTTATATGAATGACTAAAACCACATTAACTCTTTTTCCAATTCATTTACTTGGGATCGAACCCCGATCCTTGATATGTAGAGAGAGAGAGAGAGAGAGAGAGAGAGAGAGAGAGAGAGAGAGAGAGAGAGAGAGATCCCACTGTACTATGACGACTCTAGTTTTATGTGAACGTGAAAAAAAAAATATATATATATTACCCTTCGTCCAATTCATCTTCCAGGATCGAACCTTTGTCCCCGAGGTAGACAAACTAAACGAGTCCCCCTTACACCACGACGTTCCCACTTTGTCAACATAAAAGAGAGATCAGTTGAGAATATACTGCAGCCAACGACCCTCTTCTGGCTCATCTAGTAGTCTGATGTCGAAACCCGGGTCCCCGTAGGAAACATTTCAGAGCGGCTCCCAACACCGCGAAGCCTCCATTTTGTCTCATAAAAGAGTAATCAGGTCAGAATATACTACAGCAAACGACCTGCTTTCAACTCATCCCTAACCTAGTATCGAACCAAAGTCCCCGAGCTACACAAGTCAGATAGAGTCTCCACTACACCATGACCTTCAGACTTTGTACATAAATGATCATCCGGAAAACATATACAAAGAGTCATTTTCGAACCTGTGTCTCTCGTGTAGCTGAAGAAGAGCAGTTCCTTTACACCATCACCACCACGGTACGATGATCATCAAGTGAAGACAAACAAGATATTCTCTACCTCATCATCGAGCCTGGATCCTCCAGGTAAATATGATCGAGAAGCGCCCCACTACCCCACACGACCCTTGCTGTATATCGATAGATCAATGACCATTGGAGAAAATATTACTCTGAAGTCTAAACGACCCTCTTGTTACCCCCTCGGTGGTATCGAACCCGAGTCCTGGAGAAAGACAAGATAGAACAACTCCTAAGTACCACGATGCCTTCGTTCTTACTCGACATCGAACCCGGGTCCTCCTTAAGACGTCCTGCATTTGATTAAGATCAGGTCGATTACCTCAGAATAAACCTTTCTTCATCTTCCATCTCTACAAGTATTGAAGTCGAGATCCTGGAGATAGACAAGAGAGAACTCGTGCCCCTACACCGCCCTACAACACCCCATACATGACTGTCACTCGCCCCTACACCCCTCCCCTACATGATAGTCACTCGCCTCTACACCCCTCTACTACATGAGGAGTCACTCGCCCCTACACCCCTCCCCTACATGATAGTCACTCGCCTCTACATCCCCTCAACATGACTGTCACTTGGCCCGGGTTCTGCATTATTCAGCAGGTCACAACCACCTCGTGATTGAATCATTTATCATCGTAAAGTGAATTATGGGAGTGACGTCACGTGGACGCAAAAAGGTTCCTACATTAACATCTCATACACGTAGGAGGGATGGTGAGGGGCCGTGTTGGGAGGGTCACAGCTGAGATGATAGTGTGTGTGTGTGTGTGTG